TGCTGTGCAGGGAAAACTGACAGGGTTTCGTTATAAAAAAGATGGAGCAGGAAGGAGAGAACAAAGAAAGATGAGACCGAATGCACACGGGCCTCAGTGACAAATGATAGATTCTTATATTCGTTTACTGGTCTCAAAATCGCCATCCAATGTGCAGGGAAGCCTGTGGCTTTGCCCCAGGAGGGGTTTGGGGCTGCTGTGGTAAGCTGTGGCATATGTGATGTGTAGAGGCTGGGGCTCCCAAAGTGGGACCTTTTCTGTAGGGGTTGTGAGGCTGCATATAGTGTGTCAGAGAAAGGCATGCACAGACTGCCTCAGGACAGAGTCTGTGAGGGCCAGCACAGCAGCTGGTGTTGCCTGGCCAGGGAAGTACCGAGGGTGCAGCTTTGTACCTGGTTTAGGGCTTTCCAAGGTAGCCATGCAGATGACCCTCTGGTCTCCTTGTGCTGAAACCAAGGCAGAGAGCAGTTGGAGCAGAATTATGATACACCTGCAGACTGTTTGGTGAAGGGTCTGTTTGCTTTCAACAGTGATCTGGCATCCGTCATTGGAAATGGACTGTGAACCCTACTCACAGTGTGCATGTGTAAAGCTCCCTTCTTGTGGGCTCTTTGTGCTGGGCTTTTGACAAGTGTTGCACCAGAACTTCTCCGTTCCTGTCTCTTTGCTCTTTTTAGGACAAAAAAAGTCTGCCTTGCACTTTTCCATGCTGTCAGGGTGAAGGGAGAACAAACCAAATCCTTGGTGGGCATCTTACGACCTTTTCCCAGTGGGTACTCGGTGCACTTTGATGCCACAGACAGCATTATGGCCTCTCAAGGACAAGTGCTTTTTGGGCCAGAGCCCTTAACTGTGACAGCTTGTGTTTGTAGTAACGAGCACTCAGCAGACTTTTATGACCCTTACAGCTTCAGTGAGAATATTGTCTCACTGCATGAGCCCTCTCCAGATTTACACACACACCCCCCTGTAAAGGTATTAAAGGATAGTTACTTTTTGGGTGCATTGCACTTTGCCAGATGTCTTCCCAAGCACCTCAGGTTTCAAATAGTCCTCCATCTTGATGTGGAGCATAGTGACTCAGGACAAGGGAGGTGACTCACTGATACCAGTTGAACATTAGGATCATGCAGGTGTGACTCCTTAAGCTTTGACAAAAAATGCTGTCTGTCACAACACGGAAAAAAACCCAACACTTGCAATATATTGCACGTCTGCATAGGTGGCAAATTCCCCACATTGCTGTACTGCTATGGAAAAAAAAAGTTTTTATTTTTTAAATGTTCTCTTTCCACCAGCATATTCTGTATACGGTAATTTTTGTTTCAGCATAACAATGCAATCCTGTTTGTTTAGCAAGTGATTTTATCAGATCTTTTGCATTAGGAGGATGGATGGAGGACAGAAAGACAAACAAAACCGAGGAACACTAAGAGAAATCTTAGCGAGCACTGTAAATTTAGCAGCATCCTTCCTTCAGGCTGGATGCTGTTAACCCCCAGCAGGGAGACCATGGGATCCAGCCAGAGCAGTTACAGGATTTAGTGGTCTCTCTGCTTGTGTCAGATTAATCTACTTTTTGTAAGAGGCGATGGAGACTGGACAGTAATCCTCTACCCAAAACAATCTCCCAGTGCAGATTTACTTGGAGTGCCACTTGAACTGTCATCAGCACTGCCCAGCCCAGCATTTTGTTCTGCAGGGACATGGAAACTTGTCTATGTCTGTGGAGCAAATCTTGAGTGGTGTTTGCAAGATGAAACTACTGGCACTTACAGCAGGACCTGCCATGGCTCTGGGCATGGCTGTGCTGCGTGGGCACATGTCAAATACACACTGCCAAGCTCAGGTGTATGTAGGGGGTGAGGCAGCACTGATGCTGTATAATGGTTCCTGATTTATTTCTAGCTCTTCAAAGCTGATGCTGCAGTCCTCTGCCTTTGGCTTTTCCATGGAGAATGGGGAGTGCCGGTCTCTGGCAAAATTCCTGCACTTTCAGCATGACAAAGCCTTGCTGCTTTGCTCTGATGCTGTGTTAAGATGGGTGGGGATGAAACACTAGCTATTAAATATGTATTTTGTCCTATTAATATCAACTTTACCTGAGGCTGCTTTTGACTGCAGTCTCCATTTTTCTTTTGTGCCCTCTCCTTATTCCTCTCTTTGTGAATTGAATGCCCTGGTGGCACCTACCTAGGTAACAACCACCAAATTTATTTTGGGTAACTGGTTTGAGACCTCTCTCTGGCTTGTGGCAGCTGCCAGAGGAGAATCTGGGATAGATACGCTTCAGCTCTTAGCACTGAGTGATTTGGGGTCATGACGGGTTCTCTGGAAGTTTGTGCTGAAGCAATTGTTGAAATATTTCACCGTTTCCCTATTTATGAGTTCTGAGGGCTTTGGAAAGCAAGAGATTCGGGGAGGGTCAGGGGCTGCCTGTGTGTTTGAGCGCCAGTGTTAGGCTGCCCTTGAGAGCCTGGGGAGTGGGCTCTCATTTATGCTGGCCTGCAGAGCGAGTGCTTAACCGAGGGCAGGAAGGGGCCAGATGCAGCGTTTGCAAGGAAATAAATGCACGTCTTTATTTTCAGAGCAGCTGGGGATTTGGGCAATAGCCTTGAAAACAAACAAACAGATTGTGACTCACAGATAAGTTATCAGAAGGAGTGGATACATTTTAGGCACTGCTGAAGGACCTGCTTATGGATTGACTTTTCCTCTGCTTTTAAACTGTTACTTGGTGTGCCAGTGTTCCAGAGTGGTTTGACATCGGTTGTCCTGGCTGGAAATTTCCCAACAGCCTTTCGTGAGACTTTAGTTCTTCCAACCATGAACCTATGTATAATCTGGTAGGGCACATTCTCTGCCTGGGGCTTGTGCAAGGGCTGCCTGTCTTTGATGAGCAGTAGTAAGCCATGAAAATGAGAAGGTACCAGGATATCTGCTTTTTCTTTTTTCCACTTGGATGACATTACCGTTCCTCTGACAGCAATAAAATTAAAAATTAGCGACTTGGAGGGATTGCTTTTAAAAAAGTGTTCTTGTACAGATATGACTGATTTTAATTATCTTAATTTGTTCTCTACTAACAAAACTGAATTCTCTGATTTAAGTTGCATATACACCTTCTGGATTGTGAAAATAAACCCAGAGCGTTTGAAAGCCTGCCTGGATCTCAGATGTGTCTCCTGTTATTTTGTTTTGTTTGTGGCTTGTCTGGGTGGATATTTTTCTTTGGTAACTGAAGATTGGTTCTATAATTGCAAATATTACGAATCACATTTCCCCCATTTTCTTCTAGAAAGTCAAGATCTTTAGAGAGCAGTTCTTACTGCCTCACTGAGCTGTTTGCTGCAAATAATTCACAGCTATTTGGTGGAAAAAAGTACTTGCTCATACTACTGCCTTCAGTCTGTAGGTTGGAGGATCAGACATAACCTGTCGCATCTTCTGCAAGCCAGAGCAGTGAGGAAGTAACAAATACATTTAACTAAACCAAAAAGGCTAAGCCTGAAAGCTGTTATGTCTCTTTTGTGTTGCACAAAAGTGCTATACTACTTGGTGAGATGCTATATTGTAGGGAGGACATCTCCTGTGATGTTGAACCAGAGAGCTGAGTCAGAGCTAGCCTTATTTGTGGAAGGGTTGTACGTCATGGAAATGCTTTAAAGTGTAGCACAGCTAATTGAACTCTTTTAAGAGAAGCCTTCTTTTGAAGTTGGATCTGACTTTTAAAAATAAATTGCATACTTTTACTTTGCGTTTTTGGTCATAAAACTTCAGTTACTGGTGTCAAGAGGGCTGCTACTATTACATTACACACAAACAGCCACTTATTCTGAGAAGTTTCAATTTGGAGTATCTGACTCTCCAAAGTTAGCTGTACTTATTTGTCATGAAATGTGCATGGCTCCCATTACCATCAATATTTGAACACTTCACAAACCACGAGCAAACATATCTTCCCACATTTATTCAAGGGTATAATAGTACTATCCACACTTTACACATAAGAGAGATTAAGTTGCATGTCTAAGGACAATGAGGGTATTGGGCTAAATCCAGGAATGCAGCCTGCTTCTCCTGAGGCTTGGTCTAATGCCTTAGAGGAAAATATCTTGGGTTTAGGGAAGCCTCGCTAGAAAGCTTGCTGCTCTTGTCTTTCTCATGGGAATGAGACAGTACCCTAATGACAGAGTGCCTGGAAAGGTCAGTTGTCTCTTTCTTTGGATGGAAAAGGTAATTTCAGTTTCAGGGACAGCTTTAGTGTAGGGATTCAGCCCCTGTCTGATCTCTGAGCTGTGAAATGTCACTGTGGAGGCTGCTGTCCCAAGAAGCCAGGTGGCTGTGCCAGGATCTCTGGTTTCCTGGTCCAGGTCCATACCAGGACTTCATCTGGTGAGCTGTGCCATTAGTTAGTCTTCATCCTCTTCCACCACCTGGGGAATCAGGATGTCTTTCTGAAAGCAAAAGTGTCTGATGCCTTGTCCATGGGAGTCTGGAGCTAATGGCCATCAAGGGTCTCTGGCAAAGCAGCTGCTTTTCTCCATCCTTCAAAGTGGTCCTGAGGAGATCAGTCGGAGAGCTTGCTCTTAAATTGCTGGGCTTGCTCCTGGTGGGCTTTACAGGGCTCAGGTAGTAGGAGTCTGGGACTGGTGTGGTGAGATGCTTCAGCTACACCAGTACTACTAGTTTTTGATGGAGATATGCCCCTTAGTCTGAACTCGTGTGTCCTGGAAATGGGGAGATATACTTTTGGATATTGCCATTTTATAATCAAGGGTGTGATAAAACTTAGTGAAGTAAATGAGTCTTTAGCTGCTTCTTGGGTTCTGGGATTTGGGACGAGGGTGAAAGCTTTCCTCTGCTGTTTCCATGCACTCATGCTAGGGTTGAAATTTGGAAGAACTCTACACCAATGTTAGTATGTCTAAACACACCTGAGAAACTAATGTATTTCAGCTTATCTGGTTTTGTTCATTTGTTTGTTTTTTTTCTTCCAGTGGGATCTTGTTTGTGATTCTGCCTGGAAAGTCCACATTGCTAAATTCTCTCTACTAGTAGGATTAATCTTCGGCCACTTAATAACAGGATGTATAGCTGACTGGTAAGTGAAAAATATTTTAATTCAGTGTGAATACAAATAAATAACATCATCAAATATTGCTTGAATTTTCTTCTGTATGTTCACGAAGAGCATTTGCATAATGATTTTTTAGGTTTTGAAAGAAGCATGGTGAATAAGCAGTTTAAAACTGTCTGTTAATTGCTTGAACCTGAGCAATTTATATCAAGATAAATAAATAAACTATTTAATAGTTGGCTTAGTTATTTTCCACTGACACAGTTTATTACATCTGTAATACTAGTACAGAATTAAGTATTTTCTAATAGTCAAGTGAAGCCTTTAGGTTGGGGTTTTGGTTTTTAACCAAGAGATGGGGCCGAAGGAAACTGGAAGCAGGATTGATTTGACTGAATAGAAGACTAATGTAATGTCAACCTTGTGCTTACACAGTACCTTTTGGTGGGTAGAAGGCTGCTTTTTGCAGACCTTCCCATTGTTCTATTTTTAAAGTTCTTGTTAAGCAAACATTGTGATGTAGTCTTAAGGAATCGCTGACTTATGTGCTGTTAATACTTGGGTATTAAATTTGCTAGCAGAGAGTGCAGTTCCTTAAATTGCGGTAGTGAAAACCTTACTGGATACCCCAATTATGCTGAGATTTCAGCTTTTATTTAAAGAAATGGTCTTACAGTGCAGAAGTGGGGGGTGGGGGACGACACAGAAATTAAAGTCATGACTCAAGTGATTTCAATAGAAACTTGCAGCAACTGAAACAATAGCTCTGCATTGCTGTCCCAGTCATTTCAGTGGCTTCCAGCACACTTGCCAATGTTGGTACTTTAGATGGCCCCAAGTTAACTCTTTTGCCATTCATTAAAACAGAAAAGGAAGAAGAGTTCACTATTAGAGAAATCCTACAAAGCTGCAGCAACTCACCAGTCAGTTGGGAGAGAAAAGGCCTCCTGCAGCTGCGCAGTAATTTGGCTCAAGCACTTGTAACAAAATTGCATCTTAATTCTTGAATAGTCACTAAAAGTTTTTGGGCAAGTGAGGAATCTTGACTTTTCAGTGGTGTAGGAAACATGCATGATGAAATACAGTTGTATTTGATTAAAATACCAAAGTAAACCAGGGCTCTAACAACATGTAGGAAGTGTAGTAGGGAAATGAATGAGGGATCTTGCTTGGTTTTCCTAAAAAGGAATCAGTGTGGAGAAAGCAGACTTATTCCCAAGTTAGGAAAATGCTGCTATAATTGACAAATAAGTTACAAATAAGTGAACAACTTATTGCCCAAGGCACTGGCTTCAAGAGACAATTGCAGTAAACAGATAGCTCTCGACACCAAAAGGAGCATCCTGCTCTTCTATCCACTTCTGTCTCCAGTGTGTACTTTGTGCTGCCATGTGCACTTGTTAGACCCCTTTGCAAGCAAGCAAGCTGTTTATCCAAGTTAATGCGGCATAAAATTACCCTATTACAAAAATGTGGAATTGTGGTATTTTACTCTTCTTGTGGTCGTTCGTTTCTTGTTCTGTTTTGTCTGGTGAGTTCAGGAGACCTTAAGGAGAATCTGTTTTCCAACTGTGGTACAGAGGAGAAAAAGTGTAACTTTTGGTGGGTGGGGGGTACAGTGACCCCCTTGCCCTTTCATGGATGACCACGAAGGACACTGTTTGCTACCACTAGAGCTGGTCCTCAAGCTCCTTTTCAGACCCCATCCTTGCCATCTGAAATAACTGTGTCAGCAGAGGTCCTGTGCTGGATAGTCTTTCTGTTGTTTAGCAGTAGCATTCAGGGCTGGTAAAAGAAGACCTAAAGGGGATTTACTTTGCTATTTTATCAAAGTTTGAATTTCTAGTAAAGCAGGGGGTTCTGTGGAGAGATGGATACAAGGGGGATTGTACTGTAAAAAGAGAAGAAGAAAAAAAGGATGTTGGTCCCAAGCAAGAGCAGGAGAAATAAACGGAGTAATGTATAGAAGGTTTACAGGCTTTGAAAATCTGTTTTCATTTAACTTGTACCACTCTCCAGTTTATATAATTAGGAGATGCTTTGTACCATTAGGAGCTTTGCTTTCTCATTTTGAAAGAAGGCTTTTAAAGCTGTATGTGACAAAGGCATAGAGTGTATTAAGGTCATTTGCTATGTAAACTGAGTGGTCTCTGCTCAAAATACAGGAGGTTTGCATACTGGGGTAGCTCTGTATGAAGAATCTATAAGAAGAACATCTGTAAGCTAGTTTGGCTGTGTGAAGCCCTGCTGTGTCTAATGCCTGAATAAGTTACTTGTTCAACAGGCATAGCAGCACAGGCAATTTTGCCTGCTGGACAGGGGCTGTTGAGGTCTCTATGGAAGGCTTCCTTCTGGAGCAGGTGGGCTTGGTGGTCTTGTAGCATCCAGACAGTAGGTCTCCGCTTGTCACTGCTGTGTGCTACCTGGGCTTTGCACCTGTTCTGGTGGTTTTTGGAGCCTTTACGCCAATTCAGGTCCCAGGACCGAGAGAAAACCTGCAAAGAATGTCATGAAAAGAACAATGTGGTTGGCTGCAAGAGCAAAGCTTAGTCTTCTCAGGGTGGCAAGGTACATGCATAGGAGCATGAGAAGATGAGATCTTGTCATCAAACCATCCCCTTCCCGCCTATGATGCAACTTTGACAACATTAGGAATATCTTTTTGATGCATCTGCATATCGCACTGTGTGGATTGCAGATTCTTCAAAAGCCTGAGGTTGCTTGTATCCCTAGTTATTTACCTGTGCAGGCATTTAAAATCTGATCTAGATAATAGTATACAGTGTAGGCTGAGACTTGGGTGGCACAGAAATCTCCCTTTGGAGTAGCTTGGATGGCATGAGGTTGCTTGTATCCCTAGTTACTTACCTGTGCAGGCATTTAACATCTGATCTAGATAATAGTATACAGTGTAGGCTGAGACTTGGGTGGCACAGAAATCTCTCTTTGGAATAGCTTGGATGGCAGCAGATAGCATTCCAGGGACGTTATACTAGGGAGATTATGTATGCTTTAATTTCCCACAAGCATTGTACTATTAGTCAGATAATTCTCTCTACACATAAAAGGCTTCCCTCCTCTGCCCCCACCCCAAGACACCATGCTGTCAAAACATTGCTGGATCACCAAACATACGGTCTGATAGCTGCCCTGGAACTTTGATTTTTGAGCAATACGCTGTGTTCCCTGGTGAGGAAATGAGGAAAGAAACTAGTTTTGAGTCTGGGAGGAGATGCTGGTGATCCCTCTTAACAGAGGTTTTTTTGGCCTCAGCTGGTTTTCACAGGCCCAGGAGGCTTTGGGTTTCCCAATTCTTCAGTAGTAGCAACCCGTCATTTGCATAACTTGTATAACGGTAAAAGAAATTCTATGTCCTAATGATGGATAACCTTGAGTACAGGGTGTGGGAGGAAGGGAAGGAGGGAACTCGAGTATGAGAAGGATGAGGTCTTCTTTTAATCGACACCAGTGAATGCAGGTCAGGCTTGTGATGGGAATTAAGCTCCTAATTCTGAGTGTTTGCATAATGCCTTTCATCTACAAAACACTTCCACAAATACTAATTAGTATGAATTACAGCTTGGTGATTACGAAAATAGGGCTGCAAAAGCCTGCGCAGATCACTGATAACACGAAGTTAATAGGGTTTTTTTTCTGTATTCAAGGTTTTGTGTGAGGTACTTCACCTCCCTAGCCAAGTGCTTTGTGTTCTATAAACATAAAATATGAAGCACATATGGCAGTAACTGTCGTGGTGTCCAGCATGTTCCCAGTGCGTTGAATATCACTGAGGCAGTGATGTTTTGTTCCCACCCCTAGCTCAACAGTAGTTCATCTTCTGGTGGCCTGGATTTGTATGCTGATTGAGAGCAGTCTGCTTTGACCTTGCATTCTTCAGTTTGCACATTGGTTCTGTTTCAAAACATGTTCTGTTGTAAAACCATTGAATGGTTACCACTAAGAAGGCAAATCTTTGAGATGCCCCAGCTGAAAGATTTGAGATGCTAGTTGAAAAATGCAGTGAGCCATAACATTGCCACCTTAGGTGTGACTTTAAGTATGAATGATGCACACGTACTGGTGCACTCTCCCAATTCCCAAAAATGTAAAAAAAAAAAATAACAATTATAATCTCCCTTTTAGCCCTTCACCCCATATTTTATTGATTTTTTTTTTTTTTTGTTCCATTTTATGTAAAGCAAAATCTAAAGTTCTAATTGTGAATGCATGTACTTTATAACTTCTGGTAACAATCTGCTGAAGTTATTAAATTGAAACACTTCAGCATGTGAAACTGGACTAAGTTGTGAGATTTAAATGCTCTTTACTGTGCTGACATTCAACCTGATGCCTGGCTTGCAGCTGACAGACTGCTTTGAATGGGTCTGTGAAAGCTGCCTACAAAAAGCAAGTTCAGATATTCTTTGTGGAGATGGCATATGGAGCTGACTAAAAGGGATCCTCACTTCCACTGGAAAACTTGTGGGAGTTGACAAGTTGAAAAATTTTGGAAATCTCCACATAATGATCCAATTCTTGCTTAAAAATAGCCATGTGCTCTGGTTCTTCATATCATTCTACTTGCACAGGAAGAAGGGGGGAAAGGGGAATTATAAACACTGAGCATATGAGTAAGAGATGTAAAAATCCCCTGTTCCTTCGAGGTGAAAGTCAAACTCTGCAGCAAGTGCCCCTACATTCAGTGGCAGTGTAACTCTTCCTGCTCATAGCACTGCACCAGCATGTGCAACTATAGGTTGCAGCTGCAAAGCCTGCCTGCAGAGGAGGACTGCAAATCCTCACACCCCTGTTGCCTATAATAATTTTTGGAGCGATTTCTTCCTTGCCTTCTATTCAGGCTGGTTTTGCAGGTCTCTGCAGCTGCTGTGGGGATACAAAGTGGAGGGACTTGGAGCTCACGGCTTTCCTGTGAACATTATTATTGGCTCCCTAAAGCTCTGTGAAGTAACATGAGCCCTGTTTTGTGCCTGGTCAATGTTTGCTAGGCTTGTGCTCAACAATAAGGCCAAAAACAGTACTTTTTTTTTGAGCCAGCTCCTCTTGCAGATAAGGCTGAAAAGCACATATCTGTTGGGAAGAGGAGTCCTCTGCAGTAAGCTCTGTGGCTATAGACTACAGAGAAATAGTCTAATAGAAATAGACCGTGCCATATAACACCATACACTCTTCCATGCTACTACAGAAAGCTCTGAGAAGCTGCTTCTAATCTCCAAGGAACTTGTTTATGGCTTTACAGTAGTTCCTCGGTGGCTTTTTTTGTTCATGTTTGGTGTTTTGAAAATGAAGGTTAAATCAAACAGTAATACAATATGCTGTCTCTGCTTGATCCTGTCTGAAGTGAACTTGTCAGTGCAAAGCTGGCTAAGAAATCTGGGTTTTAGTAAGCAGGAGTAAAATGAGAAGAATGGAACAAGTATTAAAACCAGGATGGCAATATTTGGAAGGGATTGCATGACTTGTCCCCCTCTTTGCCAATTGTAATGATCTAGCATTATGTCTGTGCTGGCTTTTAACGCTGTTTCGCCATACTTACTTTTAGGGTTGGTCGACGGCCTGTACTGCTCTTCTCTGTCATATTCATTTTGATATTTGGACTGACTGTGGCACTCTCAGTGAACGTGACCATGTTCAGCACACTCAGGTTTTTCGAGGGGTTTTGCCTGGCCGGAATAGTCCTCTCTCTGTACGCACTACGTGAGTATGCCTTTATTACCCATCCAAATGTTTCTTTATTGGTAATGTGGTTTGCTGTTCTCTGGCTTCCTGCTTTTGTCCAGACAAATCAAACCAGAACCATATGTGCTTTGGTAAGGATTTTGCAGCTGTTTCTTCAGGTTGCTACAGAGCAGACTGTGAAGCTGTTTGAGAGCTCATTTTTAAAGTTATAAGGTGTTTTAGGTTTGCTTGTTATTTAAACCTAGAAGTCATCTGTCTCATAGCCATAATGTGTAATGGGAGTGGATTGCACCTTGCGGTATTGAGCTCAGTAGGGGACTCCCCACTTTCACTGTTTCTAGCAGTACGTAATTTTTCACAAATGCCTCTGTTACTTGCAGCAGGAGATCCCGTGTCCCTGCCTCAGCATTGTAAAGCTCAGCAAACATATGTGAGAAGTTACTGAGATTTGTTCTTGTTTGGTTTTGTCTGTTTCACTGGGGGGAAAATAACTGAGAGAAACTTGCAGGAAAGCTTGTGAGAAATGTCTACATGCTCATATCTGGTGACTGGGAAACCTGTTGCCAAAACATTTGAAAACCCCTTTTGAAGGCCTTGTCTTTGGAGAGCACATGAAAGTGCTACCAGCCTAGTCTGTGTCCCTTGGATATGCTCCAGAGAGCTTTGTCTGCTTCTGCTTCCTTGGCTGTTTGTAATTCACAGGTAGTACTGTATCAACTAAGGAAAACGCAGAATTTCCTCATCTAGAGAAGTTCTGAAAGTTGCTGTACAGATTTAAATATTTTATTTATTTCCTATCATAGATGGTATTTAACCCATCAAGATTTAGCGCAGTATCCTTACTCTGCATGCAGTCTTAAGTAGTATTAAGTTCCACAGGTTTGGTTTTGTTTTCAGTCTGCACCAAGGGGAAAGAAGCTTGACTAGAGTATACAAGTTTGTTCTGTATTGCACTTCTTTGTTGTAGCTGATATGGTACCGAAGACATACTTTTTTTCATCTTTTGCCTTTATTTGTGTAATCTCTAGTGAGAGTTTTCCACCAAAAACCCCAAAGCTACCACTGAAGACATTACACTTTTATTGGGAAGTGTTTTAACCTGTGTAATTCCCTTGGGAGAAGGCTTCAGCCATTACCAGTATGACATTGAGCTGGAAACCAGGCTTGTTGGAACTTTTCACAGCCCAGTGCAGCGTGTTAGTTTTATTTTGTGGGTTTTGTTTGGTTGTGGTTGTTTCAGGTTTTTTAACCTTTAAGAGAGTCATTGCAACTGAAGGTTTTCATGGAGAGATGCCATCTATGTAAAAGTTCTTCCTCTCAATTTAGATTGACCATGTTTCGCTTTCTGCTGGAGCCCGTAGCATGCCGTTGCACTCCTTTGTGGAGTCAGCTTTCTGTTTAGCCCCTCTTCCCTTTCTCTTAATGGACTTGATTTTTTTTCCATTGGAGATTTGTTGCCCCTGAATTCCCAGCTGGCTGCCCTGAGCAGAACAATAGAAAGTGGAAAGTTTGATCTGCTAGACAGAGTCATTAGTTTTCAAAGCCTCTGTACTGAAGCAAACTTTATAGGCTTGCGTAGCTTGCAAAGGTAATTAGCCTGCCACAGGGATCCCTTTACACCATGTTGAGCTTGCTAGTTGTGCTTGGATTTATGGCCTGCCGAAGGGAAATTGTAAATAACAGTCCTGGATGCTTTGGGAGTGGGAAGAGCACTGAAGTGCGCTCTTTAAACACAGAGGTGCCAGGGTTGAGTTGCAGTCGCCATTAAAACAGCACTCTTCTTGGTAACCTAATGCTTTTCCTATCTGTTCACCCTAAGTTGCAGAGTGAGCCTGGGGACAAGCATCGCCTTTCTTCTGTTGAGGGAGAGCACTGAGCCCAAGATGCCTGTGCTCCTCAGAGAGCTCTCCTCAGTGTCGTAGTGAGCTAGGTTCTTGTGACCTACAAGTACAGCCTCTTGCCTGGAGCTGCTTAGGAGCTGTCTGAAATTTCTAGTGAACTGGAAGGAAGAAAGGCTTTACACAGGTGATGGTGCTGGCTGCAAATGGTGGAAGCAGAGGAGAAATTAACTTGGAGCTTTCTCCTTCCAGGCACTGTGGGACATTGCATCATCTAGGAGGATAAAAGCCAGTTAACTCTTCTCACTAAACAAACACACGCAGCTTTGAAAGGCTTCTGTTTCCTGATGATGTGGAGTGGGGGAGTTTCTACTGTCTTCCAGAAGCATTTTCCTGCTTGGTACCAACCTTCAGTGAGTTTCTGTTCTCCTGAGCAACTGATACACATCTTGTGTGGTTAGGCACCAGCAAGGTCCTCAGGAAGCTCTCCTTAAGAGGGCAAAGTGATCGTGATGTGGCATGCTCATCAGTCATCGGATGCATGGAGCTGGAGCCTCCTGTTGTGATACACTGATTAGGTCCCCTACGATGCTTGCTGAGATTTCTGTGGGAATGGGCTGCCCCTTTTTGGAGGGGGTGCTGGGGCCAGGGATGAAATCTCTTGGAAAGAGGAATGGTGAAGGGGCACTAAGGACTACTCTGGCTACAGTGGTTGGAAAGGGATGTATGGCCTGCCCAGCAGTTAAATGCATGAAGGAGTGTAGTGTGATGGGCCGGAGAAGGAAGCGTTGTTTCGAAGAAAGCAGGAGAAAAGCTTTTTTTTTTTTGGTGTTTTGTTTTTTGTTTTTGTTTTTCTGAGAGTGCCTTTTGCTCCAGTATTTGTTGCTGCATGTACATGCAGGGAGCAGGAATGAGCACCCCGCATCTGCTGGCTCAGCATTGTTGGATGCACAGCACCATGGCCTGCTGCCTAGCTGAAGAGGAGGAGGTTTGAGTCTACGGATTGGGGTGGAAAGCCCTAAGCTGGTTTTGTGAGGGGTTTTTGTTGGACAGGCCAAGAAGGAAAAGACGTGTGAGAGCCCTGAGCAGGGTCACATGTGCCTGAGTAATGCCTCAGCTGGTGTCCGTACAGCAGGAGAGGAGAGCCACCCTTACTGCAAATAGCTCTGCTTGCTGGTTGAAACTCATGTGGGACAAAGTACATGTGGTAAATGTGGAAGTTACAGGAGAAAGCAAATCTGAGTATCTCCAGGGTGGGGAGGATGTTGCTTCTGGGTCACTTTAGTATCATTAGGGTATGACCATGACTGCAGGGCAGCCTCTTCCTGTGGGCTCATGCAGAAGGCCAGATGCTGCAGCTGACTCAGCACAGGTCCCTTCCTTAGGGCCTGTTTTCATGAGCTGCAGCAAGCTGATGCAAGAGCTCTCATGGCTAAGGGCAGGAGTTCCCCCTTCCTTTTCTTCCACCTCCTCTCATGTGTGGTCCCGCACCAGGCAGGGCCAGTTAAATGAATGAAAGGAAGAAAGGGTCCCTTCCAGCTGCTCATTTCCTATGCTGTATCTGACTTCTCCCTGATGTCCCTGCTTTTGTCACTATCTGGAGTCAAAGCTAGTTTGATGGTATTAATTGAAATTGCTTGAGGAGGAGGAGAGGAGGGAAAGAGTTGTATTTCTTTGGTAAATGCTCTCCAGGCAGGTTTAACGAACCTCTGGTTGAAGTGCTGTGCACCATCACTAGTGACTGTACCTGAGCTCAGACAGCAGAAGCCATGGTGGGGGTTTGCACACAATTGCAGGCTGTCCAACAGTTTCATGGGTGACTGAACTGCAGATTAGGCTGCAAAATTATAAAGTCTAGACTTGAATGATCCAATAAATAGGTTCTGGAAATAGCTTTGCTGAAAGGGAGACACTTTCCCAGGTTGAAGAGAGGAAGCAGGTGTGCCCCTCTGATGCATAATAGCAGGATGAGTAGGCACGTTGTTTTTCTTTCACTGTTAGGAGGAAAAAAGGTAGAAACACTGTTGAAAAATCATGATTTGTGTTTCAAAAGCCTGGAGAAGCTTGGCAGAGGCTTCCAGACAGGTTAAGACGTCCAGCTGTGACGTATCTTTCTCATTTATACCTAGGTCAGTCTAACCTGTTACTCCTGTAAATTACACAGGCACTGATCTTTGAGAGGCTGAATGTGGCTTCTTAAGATTATTTTTTTTTTGCCATGTATCCTGGAAAGCTAGAGCAGCGTGCTAGAAACTTGCTCCAGGCTGAGGAATGAACAAGTGCCAAACGGAGCATGGAAGCATCTGGGTGTTGGGCTCTAGCGGTGTCAGATTTGTAAAATAGTTTTACTTCCATTCAGGTGTCAATATAAAGGGTGAGATTTAGCTTCTTTTTTTTTCTTTCCCTTTTTCCCTCTCTCCCAGAAATGTATAGAGTCTGAGACCCTAGAGCATCCCAAATTTGTGATTCCCACCTCTCTTGGAGTTTGAATGGTCTAAACGATGTAATTGCTTGATTTCTTTTCCTCTCCTGACTTCAGGAGCAAGCATGGGCTTGGCTAGGCAAGGCAGGTGAAGCATGGGAAACTGCAGGTTCTGAAGTTATTCTGTATAACCTGAACCAACTCAATAAATAAGTCTGTGAAGCATTCCCAAACTGATGGATGTGGAAAACATCTGACTCCTTTCCAGTGCATTGACATGTGGGTTAGCTCTGCAGTAATATGCAGTTCTCTCGGATGACAGGTCTGTGATAAGATCAAGGTTGTTAAGCCACCTACCTTCTGTTTATGTAACCAGCCTTTCCCTACTCTGAGTCACTTGACGCAGCTCTAGAGTGATCACAGAGGGATCCACCGAAAGTTTTACTGAATTACCCTAAGTTAACCATTAATTGTTAAAGGATATAGAAGCGCTTTGGTTTAAAGAGCAGTCATGGGCTGCTTTAACTTTGAGGTGGGAGGTGAGTTTCTAGAAACAAGAGCTCTGCATTTGAATAGCCTGGTGCAAGAACTGCTTTAAATAAAGAAATACTGTGCAGTGGGAGCATTCCAGCTGCTGAAAAAAAAAGGGACTGTGCATGCCTTTTATCAAGTGCCTGGGGGCTCAATTTGTGCAAGTGGAAAAGGTTATTGGAATTACAGTACTCTTCTTTAAGTATAAATCTTCCCTGCTCTACATT